ATCAGTTTCTTAATAGAGATCAAATTTGATCATGTAAGATGATGTGATATTTCCCTGCCAATACTTCACCACCAATGACAAAATGTGCCTCATTGACTTGAAGTTTAAGAATTAATAGTTAAATATTGTAAAAAGTTCTTATAAAAAAATATCAGTTTGGTAATTCAGCCTAACCTATCTTATTTTAATAGTTCTCTTCTTTCGAATTCCATCCGTATTTACTAATTATAAATAATAAGAATTATGGATTTTCTTATTGAATCTAAATACCATATACACCCTCTTTGGGTTGTTTAGTGGCAGAAAAACCTAAAGAATGCAATTATTATAAAAAAAGATATTTCCATTAATGATTTCCTACTCTTTATTTGGTTCAGTTCTTGAAACTAAGTGAAAATATAATATAGTACATTGTTATTGTTATTAGATGATGTGGCTCGTATATGAGAAAACTTATTTCATGAGTTTTTATAAAGAAATGGCAAATCTGTTATTGTTTGTTTCTTGGGAAAAATGTGTCAAGACCCCAAAAAAAGAAAGTGGTTGTGACTAGTCCCCCCCCCCCTCTACCCGTATTATTTTTTTTTGCTGATAAATCCCCAATACAATGAAATAATTATGTTTCAGCCCCTATTTACCTTTTTCCGAGCACACGCACAGTTGGAGAAACTACTTTCTATTCAAAAGTCCTAAAACTACCCTTAACCCATTTCCCCCCAAAACTTTGTCGGCCCTCTACTCTCTCTCTCTCTCTCTCTTCCTCTCTCTCTCTCTTCTCTCTCTCTCTCTCTCTCTTCTCTTCTCTCTCCTCTCTTCTCTCTCTCTTCTCTCTTCTCTCTTCTCACGCCCTCAAATATCGGGTGCCGGCCATCCCACTCCTCCACATGGCCTTACTTATCCATCGTCTCGCACATCTCTCATTTTGGCCCCACCTTCTTCAAGCCCCTGTCGCCCTTCGCGCTGCAGCTGCGAGGCGTAGCGGCAAGTTCCCATAGAAGACGAGGACTCAGACAATCGCCAACATCATTAGCGTCAACATCAAGAAGAGGCCAAGATCGCCGGTGGTGGGACCGGAGGAGGGGAGGGGGATGGGTGGATCTTGCTGACGAGGGTGGTTCTAGGGTTTGGGGAGGTTTACGAGAGGGTGGAGAGGGGGAAGACGATGCAGGCGGTGGAGATTGAGAAGCAGAGGATGAGGTTTTTCAAGGAGCTCGAGGTTCAGAGGATGGAGTTCCTCGTTAATGCCTAGATGGATATTTCGATGTTAGATCAGCGTTTGGGTGAGAGAAGTCACTGGAGGCATCGCCGGAGTTCGAGTGATGTTAATGGTAGTGCTAAATGAAGCCTGACAAGAAGAAACTGAGAGTATAGTCACTTTCTGATGTAAAAGAGAGTAGCTGATTGAAATTGAAGTGTGTCTGCTTCCACTTGCTCAATATGTACAGCAGTATAGTCATTTTTCATGCTTCAGGAATCCAAAAAGAAATGTTGTAATTTGCTGCTTCTTTCTCCATATGTGAAGAAAAAAAAGTATGGTCCTTTTTTGTGCTTTAAGAATTTGATACTGATATCAACGATCATGTTGTTGATGTTACCTGCATTATTCTTCACTGTGGACAATGTTTGTGTGTCTATTGAAGATATGCATATCTAATTTCATCCTACATGTGATGTTATCGAAGACTGGTTACATTCTCTAGAGAGTAATTATGGGTGCTTTTGATGCGAAATAGAACTGATTAATTTTTACAAATCAAGCATAATAGGTACCAACAAGTTGTTGGCCCGGTGGTAACAAGTTGCCAGGACGTTGTTTCAGGACCACTGGCATGTTGTTGAAGTCAGGTTGGATGAGGACGTTGTTAAGCATTATAGCTCGACTCACCACAGTGCGTATATTGAGCCACTAGCATGCAACGAGCTTGAATTTTATTATTCTTATTGTATTTACAGTATTTTTGCCATCAATTTGATACATTCATTGT